ATTAGCCTACCCGAAAGGGAATTTAATTCTCTACAATTTATCTATAAACATTCTTATACCTATTTATTGTAGTTTCTCTCATATTGGGAAATTTATCAAAACATGCAGCGAATGCAATAAACCGTTTGTATTTTATTAGAAGGCCAATTTCGTTTAATTTATTTCTATTATTATTTGTACTATTAATCTTTTAGTTTACTAGCTTTTACTTACCAAAAATAACAAAGAAAAGATCTAATCATTATGTCCACATAATCTCATTATGTGTTCGACACATTCTGTCCAAAAGTTTACTACATTCGCCATCGATACAAAATAAATTTCAAATATCAGCGTTGGAATAATCTGCCTCATAGATCAGCCTAATGTTCAATGACAATAATACAAACATGGACCAGAAACTGTCAAAATTCCATAGCTTTCTAATAAAAGAACCGATGAGGTAAACTACAATAAATAGGTATAGGAATGTTCATAGATAATTTGTAGAGAATTAAATTCCCTTTCTGATAGCCTAAAAAAATACGGGGCGTTCCATTTAAAATTTTCAAGTTCCTCACAATTGAATATGGAGAAAACAGTAATTCAATTTTTGACCACCTGTATCAGATACTCCGATACAACAAATGACAATCCATTTGACAACATCTAAAGAGTAATCGTGCCAATGTAGATCTTTTTTGAATGAACATTGCCTGAGATATGGGGTACAATTAAACGGTGTAATAAAAACTATAGCATTCAAGCTTTTAAATATACAGGTGTCTCACGTAACTGGTTCGTTAGCACTTCTTTAGGTTCCACTATTCGTAGAGGTTTGAAATTTTGGTAGCATGGGTTGTTCATTCTAAACTTTCAATCTAAAATATTTTCAAGATGGCCACCACTTCCGGTCTACCGGAAGTAGACCACAACTTCGTTATTTTAAATGGAATGCTATAGTTTTTATTACACCTTTCAATTATACATAAAAAAATATGTTGACTTTGATAAAAGTTGTTGGTACCTACCATTTTTTGTTTTCGAGTTATTTTGATTTTAAGCTTTTTTTGGCAAATTTCACCATGCTCTTTAAAAGCCTATATCTCAGGTAACCTTCATTAAAAAAACCTCTAAATTGGCACGGTTACTCTTCAGATGTTGCCAAATAGATTGTCATTTCTTGTATCAGAGTATCTTATACAGGGTGGTCAAAAATTGAATTACCGTTTCTCCATATTCAATGGCTAGAAAGTCGAAAATTTTAAATGGAATACCCCGTATTTTTT